GCGAAAACATCATCCACGTATCTTTTGTAGAATGGCAGCTTATTTAATTTGGTAGACACTTTTTCTTCTAGATGACCCATAAAGATGTCAGCAAAGGTAGGGCCAAGGGGACTCCCCATGGCCACTCCGTCAATTTGTCTATAAAATTGGCTATTAAAGAGAAATTGAACGTTCTTAGTACACAATTTTAATGCGTCTCGTAGTGTTTCCGGTGGCAGACGAGTTTCTGATGCATGGGTGCATATTATGTCTATTGTCTCATCTAGAGGTACGTTAGTGAAAAGAGATTCTACATCCAGGGATATCATGTATTTGCCAGAAATGTCTTGATTTTTGATTTCTTCAATGAAGTGGAAGCTGTCTTTTAGCGTGTAAGTAGAAAAACGTCGTCGGATTGGCTCTAATTCCTTGACTAGCCACTGTGCTAGTTTGTGAAAAGGGGAATTATACATAGATAAAATTGGTCGTAGGGGTATATCCCTTTTATGCGTTTTTGGTAATCCATAAAGTCTGGGAGTATATGAACCCCTAGGTTTTAGGCAAAACGCTGTTTTGGAGTCTAACAGATTGTTGTCTAGCAACTTTTTAATTGTCTTCCAGGCGGAATCCTCCAATGCCTTGGTTTCTTCCCTTCCCGACGTTTCTAAACGGAATTTACTCTGATCACGTAAAATAGCCTCCATTTTTGTCACGTAGTCACTGCGATTTAGAATGACAACCCCATGCCCCTTGTCAGGTTTCGAAATTATTATTTGCTTATGATGCTTTAAAGCGGACAAAGCAGTCATGTGTTCTTTAGTTATAGGTGTACGTTGTGTTATTGGAGCTCTGCGGTACTGGTGCGAAATATCAACAAATTTTGCTTTCAGCCAGCTCACATCGTCAGAAGATCTAGGTATTAACTCAGATAATTGAGAATTCAAGTCCTCAAATTGCGCTTCCATTTCAACAGGATTAATCCTTTTGTTAGGAACACAGAAATCAAGTCCTAACGACAGAGCCTCTGTTTGCAGTTTAGTAAGTTTAATGTCAGACAGATTATAAATAAGGTCTTTTGCGTTCAATGGAAATATATCCTCAGTAGGTTTCTTGCTAATTGACTTCAATAGCTTAAGGCGAATTGATTCCCTAGTCCTCTTTTGTATGGAACATGCATGTTTCATGAACAAAGACCAACAATAGAAACTTATCTTGTCAAGAACATGTCTCATCTGATGTAGGCGGGATTTGTTGCAGCCGACCAATTCAATGCAGTCCTCTATTTTCGATTGCGCAAGACGGTCGAGGTTTTTGAGAGAAGGACGTAATTTCGCCCGACGCAACATCTTGTAAAACTCAACTGGATATTCCTTGTTGTTTATGCAATTCTGCAAAAATTCAATTCGTGTATTTTCTTTCGTTATTCGGCACCGCAATTGCAAAAGCCTCTCCAGAGAGTTAACAATATTACTCAAATTCACTGCTTAATTTTATGAACCTCATATGGTCTCCTCTTAACACCGTAGAGAAATGCATGGTTTTCCGTACACGGAAAGTATACAGCTTGTAGTTTTGAAACCCTGAATGCAAGTGTAACAGCACCCTGAGGTAACTGGATCATTATAGATTTATGCTGCATCATGATTAGTTTTACACCACCACTTAATTTATCTTTTAGAAACGAGAACGCATTTCGAAATTTTGGTTGACATTTTATGAGTTAGCACATCTACTGTATATCTCAACTCTCAGATACACCAAGCTACTAACAGAGCCTCTCTGTGGATCGGTGATGCGACTTGACACAATGTTTTGAAAATCAATATGGACTGCCTACGTAAATGCCTTGTAATCACTTTTTATCCCAAGATACACCCTGAACCTGCTTCTCACTTACGTGAGGTGCATTGGTTTTTGTATGTGCCTCGAGTCCATCACACTGACGATCGCGAAACCGGTAGCGGGTTTACTGCTAGGAGGATGTATGAGATTACAGCGGTTGTCGGGTGCTGCGGCAGGGCATTATGTGCTTTTAAGAGAGGGATGGCCTCGTAGGGCTAGCAGTGGCGATGGGACTGCGATGTCTTCCCTCGTTTTATCGTGGGGGATGCACATTGTCCAAGTAGTCGACGATCGGCTGCCCAAACAACTCTTCTATGGGGACGTCGCCACCGGTTCCCGCGGCCAAGGAGGCTAAATTCGTCGATACAAGGAAGTTCTGTAGTCTTCTCTCAAGCGTCTGCAAATCAGTCCGGCCGACTTTGAAGACCTCGCCCGAGACAGGCCAACCTGGAGGAGGTCATTGACGACAGCCGCTGCGATTTACGAAGCCAACAGCAACGCCGCCGCAAAAGCCAACCGCCAAGTACGCGTATCTCAGCTGCATCCACAAATGCACAACCGCCTCCAACATGTCCAACCCTGATCTTAACTCTAACTCCACCTTCGAACACAACCCTAAATCTCCATTTAGTCATAACACTAACCCTAGCCCCAACCCCACCATGAGTTTAACCGTAGCCCTAACCATAAACTTTCTCCTCACCCCATCCTGACTTCAGCCGTATGTTCCATGGAATTTAGCCCAAAACCACCTGTATCACGAGCGAAGGACCGTATCACGAGGGGGGCTTATGTACGATCGCTACCGAGCACTCTTTTGCTGACGTAACAAAATGTACCTATGCTGTTTCGACTCAAAGTTCTTTCCACCATAGACGGTTATAAATTCGAGAGAGTCAATCGACCTATGCGCCTATTAGAAAGAGCACACTTGCGAGGCTGACATACATAAGAGGGCACCAATCAACTTTCAAGTCGATTGGATAATTTAATTTGTTAGTAACACATTCGTTGAGAAAGCTGAGGCGCCATGACCGTGATTACGCCGGCACTTTCACCATGGCTGACGCCGCCGAATTTACCTGCGGCGTGTGTGGGGATCTGTAAGTTATTCTGTTTTGTCTTTGTTCTCGTTCTTACTGTTTAATTTATTCACCTTCCATGCTTTCAAATGTAAGCAAATTATGCGACAGTACGAGGAAGTTCAATGTCCGGTGTTTGCAAGACGTTTTGCATTCTCCTAGAACGTAGCTGTAAAAATGCCATACGAAATAGCAAATTTGTATCTAACAACCGAAAAACATGTTTATGCATTCTTATGAAATATCAGGATGGTAAAAAGACAATGGTATTTAAGTCCTTTTGCACTGACTTCAGAAATAGAAGGATAACAAAACAGCTAAATAAGACCGGCATTTTAGATGCCTTTGCGGTCTATTTATCATCGGATTACATCTTGGGAGTCTTTCTGAATTACTTGCTTACCTTTGCGCATTACTGACTGTTAAAAGGAACAGCTAGTGTCATAGGTAGCCACTTAAATACAGTTTTTACAAGGCAAAACTGGTTTTCTAGGAGGGGCCCTGAAACTGACTCAACCAGTAAAGATCGCCCGTCTGCTGCAGGTTATCCAATTATAGAATCATAATAAGTCCAACGTTTTGAAAACTTTTCTGCAGTCTTCAAGGGCTGACTAAATCTTCTTCAATGCCTTCCGAAGAAGGAAATTCACTTATGCAGTAGAAATCTGCTCTGCGAGATCTAATCATAATTTCCTTCCAGTTCATCTCGTCTCTGATTTGATAATAGACAACAGGACTGTACGGGATTTGAAGTCAGGCAGATGAACACATTAAGGCTCGATTGGTCCGAGGTTTCAGCCTTACACAGATAAATGCCTCGGTGACCTGATCCGATATGATAACGCGCAATCCAATTCTGGCACGTCCTTGGTTTTCTCTGCTGTTTTCAGCTTTCGAAACCCCTACAGCCTGCCATGTGGTCATTCTTTTTGCCGACGCCCGTGCCTTCTCCCTACACCCTCATCCACCCAAGCGAGTTGCATTCACTGCTTCACTGAGTTTCATGTGTCCCAATTGGTGCGAAACTATGAGATGGAAGAGAGCGTGCGAGCGCGACGAGACCAAGAATCCCGACGTGTTGCCTGTTTCCTATGCAGGAGTCTGTTTGAGCATTGCCCGGTTTGCCCCCACTGCCACCAGCAACTGTGCGACCATTGTTTAAACGAACACGTAGATGAGGTAATTATTCAGTGATAATTATTGTTTCGCACTGTGAAGGTCAACATTCCTCCTCCTCCTCCTCCTCCTCCTCCTCCCCTCCTCCCCTCCTCCCCTCCCCCTCCTCCTTCATTTTTCGACCCGTTTTCCATAAGACGTTTTACTAGTTGCCACAGTATATTTTCATTCAAGAACTCACTGCTCTGGCAACGAAACCGATCAAACAGAACTGAATTATTCGTTCAAACTGTTTTCCCAGAATGGGTGCCCTAGATATTTTTTACACCGCCGCGTGAGACGACAGGAGTAAAAAGAAAAAGACAAGGAACTAGATTGTTCCGATCAGGCGCCCAAACCAAAAAACTGGCGAACACTTCCGTACATTAAGAATGTGTCCGAGGTAGTTGAAAGACACCTAAGAAAGCACCAAATACATGTGGCGCACAATCCGACGACTACATTTCGCAACCGGCTTGTACACCCTAAGGATAGGGTTGGCTATTTAGATAAGAAGGAAGTCGTCTATAAGATACCATGCAACACCTGTAATGCGGGTTACTGCGGTCAAACTGGGAAGTCGGTCTACATACGAATACACGAACATCAGTTGACCGTAAAAGGTGAGACCACTTGTACCAAGTTGCCATGCATACGCCGGAAACTGGACATAAATTAGCCTGGGACAGGTCGAATCGTAGGTGTCTGCTCATCTAAGAAGGGCCGTGAATTTTTAGAGGCCATCCATTCTGATAACGCATGAATCAACCGACAGGTACAATTGGATGCGGTATACAACAGCCTCAAGGAGAAATGGAAAAGGCATTGGTCAATCGGGACATTATGAAAGCAGGAGTGACAGGGCAAACTGGATTTTTAGGCCTGCTTAAATGCTAACTGTTTTGCACACTTACTTCACGTCTGAAGACGACTTGGGGAACCAAGGTCGAAAATTTACAATTAAACTTGTTTATCTTTCCCAAAGAACTTATTTTTTTCGAATTTTCATTCATTTTTTATCCGTTTTATACATGGATATGTACGTTTTACCTTTTCGTTAGTCGCGATCAAGAAGTCATTTAGCAACTTACATCACCGAGAGGTAAAAGCACCAGCTAGAGCATCTTGGTGCAAAAGCACATTATCACTCGTTCAAAACTTAAGTTTGTCAGTTTTTACCTGATGATGTTTATCAACTGGCATCGGTGAAACAACTTTATTTTAATAAAAAGGCAGATTCCTGGACTAAATCTATAGATTGAAATAGCATAAGCAGTCGGCAAAACTTAACAAGATTTCAGATACTCGCCGGCTCGATAGTGCCACGTTACAGCCCATATTTAGTTTTAAACAAAGTGTCGAGGCCAATAGATTGGTGCCTGCCGATTCCTGATTAAGCAGCGGAATAATTCCATCTATTTAGATTACATGAAAAAGCTGACTCAATGAAGGCGACCACACAGATGCTTTCGCTAATGGAACAATTTGCTACTCGGATGTCCCTTCGAATTTTACAAAAAAGTGTTTTCTATCAAGTAGGATATAGTAGAAGTCGAACGAGAGTGTTTCACCCTGGAAACACTCACTACTCCACTTTTACAAGTTATTGGCAGTACGGTGTCGATCCTCGCGGCTTCTATTGCGTCTCTAAGCCACGTGAACGGTGATCATAGTTTGAACTCCTTTTCTACTTTTATTTGCAGCTCCCGAGGAAGGAGCTCAGAATAGCTTTAAAATTCCCGAGAGAAGCGAAGAGACGAGTCCCGGGAAGCAGTCGGGAAAACGGAGACGCGATCACTGGGACAAGAGCTTTATTAGCCTGACGTTTCGGATTCCTGCTCGAACCCGTCTTCAGAGACAATAGCGGGTACGGGTATTTGCGGACAAGACAACTGCGTCGGAGAAACCGTAATGCCGCTCTGAACGCGAATGGGTAAACACGCTGCAGCAGTGCGATGAATTGACGCCAGCTCTCAAATTGCGGCTTAGTTGACGAGACCTGTCACACATTCAAATTCGACGACGCCGAACTTCTCGGTGGAGGTGAAAACGAGTGAGCCGCGAACTGTTTGATTCAGTTCAATGATTCCCCAGTCTATTAACAAGTGCAATGACCCTTCTCTTCCACATTCGGTGCTGACACTTTAACTAGGCGGAGTACTTAGCCACGCGGGGAGCGCACAGGTTAACGCTGTTACCAAGCCCTGGTTTGTTAGGTCAGATGGTCGAGCAATCATCACACCAACATTGAACGCACGTGGTTGAATTGCGACAGTTAACGACACGAATGTCGGCCATCGAACAATCACCACACTAAGTGCAGCAATCCCTGATGAAGGGGGGAGCCGTGAATGTTCATAGGTATGCGGTAGCATGGCGACTGCATCCTATAAATAATGCAGCCTCTTGTGCATGAACCACCCGTGTCTGCCTTTGTCTCTGATGATGGGTTCAAGCGGGAATCCGAAACTTCAGGCTAATAAAGCTCTTGTCCCAGCGATCGTGTCACCTTCTTCACGTCTACAAAAGTATTGCAAAGAGTCAAGTGGAAATTTGAACCAAATGATCATATGTTCAAATCGTTATTATCTTATGGAAGTCAATGAGAATTGTATGGTTCGTTAAGCTTCCGAAATTGCGATTACCCTTATTTGGCCACCACATCCTAAGCCTCTTACCGCTTATTAACTGTCGTCAACCAATCATATCCAAACCCGAGGTGTGGGACACCTGGGGCTCGATCACGCGATCTGTTGGATAGAAGTCCAAACGCCTCTAAACACTGAGCCACGGGCTTGTTGTCCTGTCGGTTACGATCGGGAATATGCAATGGTAGACAGACGCTTACTGATCGCGCTATGCAATTCACCCATCCCGTTGGGCCTTGGTTAGGGCCGTTGGAATTCTGACCAAGAGGTGGCGGTTTTGAGCCCCAAATGTTTCACACCTCGAGGTTGAGAATGGCTAGCTGACAATGACCAACAAGTCAGGAATGGCTACTCTAGTCTCCTTCTCCTTGCCGTTAGTTCTATTCTGCCTATATCACGCGCCGCTGTATGATTATTGGCAGAGAGAGGACCCCAAGACCCCAACGCCTAATCGGAACAATCTATTTACTTATCTCTTTCTTTTGATTCCTGATGTTTTTTGCATCAGCAAACAAAGTCTCTAAGGTAACCGTTTTGGGTAAATAGGTCAAACAAATAATTGAATTCTTTGTACAAAGAAGCCTACAGATTTTGTTCGTCTATGCAAAAAAACATCAGGAATCAGAAGAAAGACATTAGTATATAGATTGTTCCGATCGGGCGCCAAAACCGGAATATTGGCGAACGTTTCATTACATAAAAAATGAGTCTGAACTCGTTGAAAGGCACCTGATGAAGCATTAAATACAAGTGGCCCACAAACCGACGACTACGCTAAGCAACCAGCTTGTACACTCTAAGGATAGGGTACAGTTCAGTTCAGTTCAGTTCAGTTCAGTTTATTTGGGGGAAATATAGGTGTTAAACCTTTGAACTCCCTATTTGTTACAAGGCAGCGAACTATTTAGAAAATTTGAAAATGGGTTGGCTGTTTGATATAAAATAAATATTCGATAAGATTCCATGCGGCACTTGTAATGCCGGGAAATCCGCCCTTGCACGCCTACATGAACACCAGTTGGCAGTGAAGAGGTCGGACCACTTATCCCAAGTCGCCATGCAAACTCTTGAAACTAAACACAAATTTGCTTGGGAGAGAACATGCATTGTCGGTTCTGCTCACATAAGAAAGGCAGAGGATTCCTAGAAGCCATTCACTCTGATTATGCATGCATTAAACGGCGCATCGTTCTTGACGCCATGTACACAAATCTCAAAAAATGGAAAAAGTGGTAGTCAATCAAGACGTGACGTCAGCCAACAGCATTGACCTGTCCTCAGCACTGACAAAGCAGCATCGATTTTCCGGGCATGTTTAAATTTTAACTGTTTTTTCACCCTTGCCACCCGTCTGGCGACGATCTGGGGAACCAGATTCAAAAAGTTACGAAATAAAGTTTGTTCATTTTTCCAAAGGACTCCTTTTTCTTCGAATCATGTTTCGTTGGATGCCCATCTTTCAATATGTATATATATTTCGAGAGAAATAAGTTCTTTGGGAATGATAAACAAGTTGAATTTTCGATCTTGGTTCCCCAAGTCGTCTTCAGACGTGAAGAAAGTGTGCAAAACAGTTAACATTTAAACATGCCGAAAAAATCGATTTTGCTTTGTCACGTCTGAAGACGACTTGGGGAACCAAGATCGAAAATTCAACTTGTTTATCATTCCCAAAGAACTTATTTCTCTCGAATTATGATTCTTCGGATGCCCGTTTTTAAATTCATGTACATATATATATATATATATAAGCGCCTTGGTATAACTGCACATTGCCCTACGCATCCTAAGCTCGGCTCTCAACTTGTCGGTCTTTCCTCAACAATGAATATTAACCAGCATCAATATAGCATTACCAGTATTGGCATTTTAAAAGTTATACTCCTAGACGTAAAATTTCGTCTAGAAAACGTATACAATCAGTAAAGATCAACGAGATTTCAGACAATGTGGGACACACCTGTCGATATCGGTCGTGCGCATCAGCGATAGCAAACGCTTTAAGCTCGTCGGTCCAATAGTGTCATCTACAGTCCTCATTTTTCAAACAACAAGGGGTTTAACCTCCCATATAATACCACGTCTTCAGACTACTTGTAAGCCTTTAGAATACAAGGAGAGTTTGTACGCTGCTGTCAGTTAAGACGATGTTGCAAATGACGTCAGCGTCGCAGAAACTTTGCATTTATTACAGGGTTCATTGGTGGGATTTCACTTCTAAGTATAATAAGGGTGTTGAGCAGTTTTACACCAATTAAGATACAGCAAAATATTGCCGATTGTGTTTCACGCCGACATCGAGTCTTCAGACTGTCAAAAGGTGTTTATTGTCCGTGATCGACCCCGAATGGGATTGACA